GAGTGCATATTGCCTCCATATATGTAAGTGCACTCATGCCATGCAATGCCCACAAAGATCAGAAGAGGGCATCAGATCCCCAGGAACTGGAGTTACAGACAGTTGTTAGCTGCCATGTGGGTTCTGGGAATTGAGCCCAGGTCCTCTGCAAGAGCAGCCAGTGCTCTTAACCTCTTAACCACTGGGCTATCTCTCCAGCCTCTAATGTGTCGTTTTTAAACATTATGAAATGCAAAATACAAAAGAAATGTTCAGTGTTCGAAGTTAATGTGTATAACCTCAATTGAGAAACCCTTAGCTAAGTTTTGACACAGCACTCAATAAATCAAAAACACTTGTATAATCTGGTTCCACATTGATGGGGCAAAAGAAGCACCACATTGTCAGCTGTGGTAGCCACTAAGGGGCCTGGACAGAACAGGTCAGGTAAGAACCATACTGTAGGATCTAAGACAAGCTCCCTGAGTGAGGAATAATTCCCACATAGCATCATCCACGCTACGAAGAAGCACTGCTATTTCACTTTATTTTGTATATTTTATTTATTAACTTTGGAATAGGAAATTGCTATAGCTTGGGTTTTGAGTGTCCCCCAAAGGCCCATGTGTTAGATGCTTGGTCCTCAGCTCATGTGCTGTTGGAGGTGGTGAAACTTTTGGGAGGGGGGCCTAGTGGAAGGGAGTTAGGATGTTAGAGATCTGTGGTTGCAGGAGACTATGGGACCCTGCTCGTGTCCTTTCCTCTTATTTCCCAACCATGAGGTGGCAGTTGTTCATGGTCACTTGATCCTTCTACCACATGTCACCACAAGCTCAAAGTAATGGGGCTCACTGATGATGGAATGAAGCCTCCCAGTCTGTCAGCCAAAGTAAGGCATTTCTCTTTAGGAGTTGATTATTTCCAGTACTTGCTACAGTGATGCAAAGCTGGCTGGCACAGGTATACAAATGCTTTGTTAAAATATATAAAAGTTAGCCAGGCGTGGTGGCACATACCTTTAATCCCAGAACTCAGGAGGCAGAGGCAGGCGGAGCTCTGTGAGTTCAAGGCCAGCCTGGTCTACATAGTGAGTTCCAGGACAGCTGAGACCCTGTCTCAAAAAGACCAATATATATGTGTGTGTGTGTGTGTGTGTGTGTGTGTGTGTGTGTGTGTATACGTGTGTTATAAAAGGGCTAGAGAGATGGCTCAGCTGTTAAGAAAACTGATTGCTCTTGCAGAGGACCTGAGTTTGATTCCCAACACCCACAGGGTGGCTAGCAACCACCTGCAATTCCAGTTCCAGGGGATCTGATGCCCTCTTCTGACCTCCGTGGGCATTGCATGATACAGGTCACCTACCTATATGCAAGCTACACAATCATACACATAAAAATAAATAAATAAAATATTAAAAAGTTATGACAATAAAATTGGATGAAAAACTGCATTTAGTGAAAACTCCCCTTGTCTGAGGCACCCAAACTCGCATCTTGGAAGGAAATTAGTACTGTCAGTTCTTGATTGTACTTTCAGAAATATTTTCATGCAATTTCTCCTCCCCTTAATTTTCAATTAATAATCTATGACTTCAGGAAGCATCTTTTTCCATAGGGTAACTTTGTTCACTCTTTGTTCAGTGTTTTTAAATATTTATAGGCATAGA